GATTCGCTCGAACGCTTCGCGAAGCGAATAGCACGAAAAAAAATGCAACAACACAGAGACGCTTGCTTGATGCAAAAAGGGAAAACACACACATGAAATAAATTAACATCCGCTCCACGGAAAAAAGAAAAAGAAAATATGCCGAGCACGGGCCAAAAAAAAAAAAAAAGTGCAGAAGCAGGGAAGGGCCTGTGTCGCGGGGATCAAAAATAATCGGAGTTCTGCGAAGACAAACACAGCTGTTCTTCCCGACGAAAGAGAGAGGAGCAAGACACAGAGAAAGAGAGAGACAAAGAGAGCGCGAAAGAGAGAGAGCGAGGGACGAAAGAGATATTTTTTTTTTGAGAGAGAGATTGAGAGAGCGAGAGAGAGAGAGAGAGAGAGAGAGAGAGAGAGAGAGAAAGAGAGAGAGAGAGAAGAGATGTGCAAATGTTTATTCACTCGAGTTTTTTGACAGCCTGGCCTCTATAATTGACCACATATGTTGTCACAACTTGCCAAGTGCCATGCTTGAAATGTCCCCGTGCTGTCCCTCTGTTCTTTCTTATTGCGGGTCAGCTGGAGAGGATCACGACACACAAGCTGTGAATGGTTTTGCCTAAAGCAGCTACAGCTGCAGCAACACACACAAGTTGAAGGGAAAAAAACGCGGTTAAGGAGGTGTTGTTGCGTTTTACTGTCTCCCCGGTAATAAATGAAAAATGACGTCGTTATATCGGTGAGCCTGCTGTTGACGCGGTCGAAGCTTAAAGATGCACGCACACACGCGCACTACAACACGTGTTCACGTTTTCTACCCCGCTTTAACAGACAAGCGTATTTCATCGGTCAGTGGGTGAGCGTGGTCGATGCTAATTGAACAACAAAGCACACACACACGCACACACGCCTCTGGCCTCGAGCGCAAGCCACACACATCACGCCGTGTGTGTAGTGTGGTGTGGCGTGGTGTGCAGACAGACGACGGGGAAAGCGGGCGGGTCAGACACGATGCCCTCCTGACACATGGCAGACTGCCAGAGCAAAAAACATCACGTCACAAAAATACCCTCGGGGGGAGGGTAGAGAGAGACGCACGCCATGTGCAGAAGAAGGTAGACTGCGAACCTGTACCTGCGCAAAGTCTCTCCGACGCGCGTAGGTAGATGGACCGCAAAAGCGCAAGTGGTTGCACCTCGCACGTCGCACCGTAAGAGACAGACGCGATAGGCATAACCTCAGTGCCCCGGATCTCGTCAGCCTTGAAAAAAAGAGGGTTTGCAGCTCAAGGTTCGAGCAAACAACTCCTGAAATAAAAAAATAACACCAGGCACCAAAATTTACTGTAGGGAGGGACAGAAAAAGTGCGGGTTTCCTCTGCCACGTACGATATTCACTCGTTTTGTACTTGCTTACGACGCGCGGCCGGACAACCGCCACCAGACAAGCAAGCAAGCAAGAGAGAGAGAGACACACACACCAGATAGACACGCCACGGCAGCGAGGTACGTACAGTACATCAGAATAGTGCCTGCACCGTTCGCCACGATACCCTCCCCACCTGCTATCTAAAGACGCCTTCCAAGGCACCCAACAGGAGCGTGTGCCCATCACATGCAAAGGTGATGTAAACGTGACGCAGACTGGAGCCGCAAACGACATACCAAAACTGAACCTGACAACGTCACATGTCACGTTTCCCCTCCTGTCCCTCCCTCCCTCCGATATAGGCAGGGCAACATCGAAAACCAGAAGCATCACAACACCACAACCCCAACTCTCAAACCAATGTCAGTGCATCATTAATGCCCTAACGGGCACCTAGACGCCAACGTCAATCTCTGGTAAGAGCTAGGGTAGAGAGAAAGGAAAACAACGATATCACACCAACTTCAACGAAAGAAAACAAACAACGAAGACACCAAAGATACCTACCAAATAATGACTCTAATGACTCACGACGCTCAAGACTGGCGAGGGGGGGGGGGGGGGGCCCCCGGGGGATCGGGAAAACCCGAAAATTTTTTTTTTTTCCCGAAAACCCCGAAAAAACCCCCCCCCCTGGGGGGGAAAAAAAAAACCCCGCCGAAAAATCTTCTA